TTCGTAAGTAAACGACCAACTTTATCCTTGCAAATGAAAGTGCATCAGCTGGTCCAGGAAACTGTTACTGTATATGAATGTGTATATAAGTGAGATTACCCTTTTTCAGCAATTGGAAAATTTATTTAAGTGTTTAAATTATCTCTTGTAACTACAGCCTACGTGCATAAGATAAGCACACTCTAACCACACACACACACGCAGTCCAGTTACCACTCAGGTGGGTTTTTACATTTTGAGCCTCAGGTGATTTTTCACTTTAACTTGCTTAATTAAAATTTAAATCTTGCCTTGAAGTTAATCAAAGTAAAATATCTTCACTTCTCTAAGCGTTTTTATCCCTTCACTGCACATATTTGTACACAAATATGGGCGTATGTGTGGGTGCTGTATGTAAGGCCTATAGGCATTTCTGTGTATTGCCTGTGAACTTGCTAGTTGGTTTCTGCCACACCGTGCATGTATTAGCACTTCTTTCGGTTTATTTTCCTCACATACGAGGTGAGCTTTGCATTCGACGCACATGCGGCCTACTTAATCAGATTGGAAAAGGATTTTGAGGAATTGCTTTACTTATCCAGGTGCGTCCGCACGGCATATTGCTGGCATCAATCGGTTTTCCTTGCTGTTGTTGCTATTTACGTGCATTCGAGGGAATTTTATTGGATGAACTTCATTTGCTAATGAAATTCACAACGGGATATGTTCTATTCACACATTATGCGAGTAAGTTAGCTTGGATTTTGCATTCGAAAGCTATTTGTTAATTAAGGATTTATGAAATTATCTACTTGATGTGAAGTAAAATCATGTTTTACTTGTCTTATTTCAATCTTCCTTTTTGAGCTTCTAAGTCATAGTTTATCATAATGAAATTAGATACAGTAACATTTCACAATAAAAAGAAAAAAACCTTTACTTTGGCTGAACCGAAGCATTAAAAGATATAAAAAGATCTTTACTACAATTTTCTTGATGTAGAGCAGGTTCATCTCCGCGCGGTGCATCCTGGATAACGCTAAACGACCTGCCGCCTCAACATCTATTAGACTCCTACGAACTTTTTACACTTTGCTTGACATGAACCTTGCTATTGGATGGTTTGGTTTGAATACTGGGACGTTGGTCGAGGTATTCTGGCACCAGATCTTGCCGAGCCACCCTCCGTCCCGTTAAAACCCTGACAGGCCTCGGAGTACGTTCGCCTTCCTTCATCATTAACTTGGTGTGGTAGGTGTAAGTTGAGATGACTACTGAACGTACTGCCTCATGAGGGCGTGCGTCAACCCCGTACTTGGGCTCGTAACTGAGATAACCTTGGGACCGTACAAAGCGACTATCTTTACGCGTGGTAGATAGCGGCTTTGAATGGGGCAATGTCTTAGATAAAAATCATGGGAAATTTTCGTGTAGGCACCATGTTCACTAAAAAATTTTCCTATACAAGGCCTTGAGTTTGATCGGTAAGTTTGTATGGCAACTATAGCATATAGTTCAACAAATAAACAGTTTCTTGGTGATAAAAGGAAGTGTGCAAAATTTTAGACCGATATCTTAAAAATTAAGGGACATCGCGGACGTGGTAAATCGACCGTTCTGAACGTAGTTCTCTGACATTGCTTTCTGGGTATTACAAACTTCGGGGCAAACTTAAGCATATACCCTGTTCAGGATATAAAAAGCTTTTGAGGAAAAATATGATAAATTGGCAAACTCTTGTACATATAGTTTACAGTTATTTGCAATCAAAATTTATTGGTTGTTACGTCAGTACTGATTACTCACACATTTTAACTTTTCAATAAACAATTTTGTCGATAGATCTCTATTTCTAACAAGATGGTGCGCCTGATGTTTCACGTCTAAACAAGGACACATTGCTTGCAAAGTTTGGCGACTAGAACTCTAGTGGAAATATTAGAAATATTATAAGTAACTACTGTATCAACCAACCCCATTTTTTTTAGAAAAAATCTTCCTACGCAAAGTCTGTATCTAACGCAAACTCGGTTACGAATGGCCAAACTGTAAGCAAAATGTCTACAACAATAAAGAAAATAACCACAGTTTTCACACTTCCAATTGTTCTTTAAGCGTACAAATTAATTAATCTATTTGTATATATGTGTATATATCTTTTTTTTTTATACCCAGCTGAACAACTCAAATTGTTTCTTTTGCTCAAACCAATTAAATATCTGACAAAAGGTCCGTAGTTTAATTATAAACACATCGGAGGGAACAGTACAGCTGTGGCATTCTCACATAACGTAATGCAATTTATTTAAAAAGAAATCAACACTTAACTTTCGTCCTCCTTCCACTACTTTAGCACCGGTGCAGCACCTTTCCTAACAACTAACCGACGATTACGCGTCAGCCAACGCCAACACTTCATCAACAACTCAACAGGAACTCCACTTACTCGTAATTCATTGGCTCAATACTCCCAGTGACGTCCGCATTCACAAAAGGAAATTACACGCAAAAGACTACCATTTAACCGACAAATGGCGACTGGTGGTGCCCAAAGCGCCGACCGACTGCTTGGTGGCGAATCCAACTCATTCATCAAATGAATAAAAATAACCAAAAAAGCGGTAAAAACCAACTCTTTTCCATCGTCGTCCATTGTGCGCAATTTACTCCTTTACCCTTTATGCCTTGTTCCTTTTTTGTTTTTAATAGTGGGTACAATAAAAGAAAACGCCCGCTGGTCATGCCACCGCCCAGTCGCAAGTGCGGCAAAAACAATGTGTATTCAAAGGAAAGCTCATCCTCGTGCTGAACAGCGACAGCTTTGCATGCCGTCTGTGAGCGCACCGATTGCTCCAGTGAAAGTGGTCAGACGCAAAGAAAACACGGAGTTCAAACCGCAGCTTCCAGCCGCCCTCCGCTGTCCAATTTTTCAAAGGCGGCAGCGCTCTCTACATAGCATATGAGTATATGTGTAGTACCTGGATCTGGACGCATATTCATCATCTTGTTTCGCTTCATCTCGTTTATTGCCATAGGATAGAAATTTCAATTAAATTTACTCAAAAGTGGTAAATTTGTTTTCTTTATTTCCGCTTCCTCCTTCCACACGAAACCGATTATTTCACTCATTGTGTGTGTTTTTTTTTTGTTTTACTGTGAATTATTTCCATATCTTGGGTGCAACAGTTCAATAAATCTACACTGGGTGAAGTAGGAGGGAGAAGCGAAGCGGATGCAGTACTACTTAAGAATACCCTGTGATGAAATACACTTTTTTCAAAAAAAAAATATATGTACCGTTTTTCGTAATTCTCGCCAATATCCAAAAATAGTTTCCTAAGCTCAATGTCTCTTATTTATTTTTTATTCTATTGCCACATGTTGCTACAGCGTATAAAATTTTTGTTCTTACCTAAAGGTTATTTGTATAACTTAAAACTGATCGAGGTAGATATAGAAGTATATATATATAATATATTTATAAATGATAAGGGACGGATGATCATGTCCCACCGTGCAAGCGCTAACTTGAGTAAAACTTCAGATACCTTGATGAAACCTAGTACACGTATTTCTTGGCGCCCAAGGGGGATTGGTATTGCAAATGGGCAAAATCGGACCATTCCCACACCCCCGAAATGCAATTAATCGAAACCCTAAAAGCTGTCATGACTAAGTTTCAGAATAAGATACAAAACTGTCATTTGGTACAACGAATCGCATTAGAAAGGGCATCTAAGATTTTAAAAATTTGGATAATGTGGGCGTGGCTCCGAAATCGAATAGGTTAAACGTACATATCTCCCAAATCACTAAAGCCAAATCAACCAAATTTTATCGGACCAAATTAGACATTCGATTTTACATCCAGGACGGAACGAGACGGCCTTATAAGAGCTGAATCCAACATCACCTGAGCAATATCAATCGATATGTTCAGTTCCTCAGCAATTTCTCGAATGGTGATTCGACGATTGGCAAATACTATTTTCTCTTCGTTGTTCACATCTTCTCGACCCTCTGAGAACATTTTGACATGCCACCGATAAACGTTGCTTTTGTCTAAGCTAGCTTCACCATATGCCACAGTCACCATTCGGAATGCATCCGTGCATTTCATTTACTTTTTCACACAAAATTTTATACAAATTATTTGATCCATTTTTTGGAATAAGCAAAATCGCAGACGAACCAAAACGCGTCCAAGCAAAACACCTTGTCAGTAAGGCATATGAGTACCAATATAACGCAAAAAAACAATCGGAAATTAAATACACGTATACTGCGAAAATGCAAAATTTTGGTTACTTTTTGAACAAACCTCATATGTGAACCTTGTGCCTTGTGCCTTTTTCTATTGAAAACTTTTTACCGAAAATATAGCTCATATAAAATTGACAATTTTGAATTTTCCTCGACTTTAATCCTTGCAAGTTAAGAGAGTATAAAATGTTCGGTTACACCCGAACTAAGCTCTTCCTCACTTGTTTTTTATTAACTTTACTTCGTGAAGTAAAGTGACAAGTGAAGTGGCAATAAGCTAAATTGGTATTTGTTAGGAATTAAATTTTAATTATCCAATCAACTTAGATGATCGATAAGCTAATTGGTATTTTGATTATTTATGTGTGGACAATATATTTGGTTTAACGCATATTTGAATTTCAAATTTATTAGAATATAATCCAACAACAGAAGTTACAATTACAATACAATGAGTGCTGACATGTCTATTGCTATTTGAATGTGTATATTCTAAACAAGCAAATATTTACATCAAAAAATTTATATAAAAAATTACTTTTTGCATTGTGGGAGTTATTCGGTGCATAACTTTTTCAATTGTTGCACTGAAATGCAAGTGTCGAAATAAATGTAAGTTATTTAGAAACAGTTTTTGTTAAATTTTGTTTGAATGAAAAAAGATTGAGAAATTTGAGAATGGCATGTGGGAATTGTTCAGAACTATTTTATTTTCATTGAAATATATTTCTTTGGAGGAAAGTTCCAATTGAAATATTAATTTTTAAATACGAATTAACAGTTAGAAAAAAAAATTATTATGAAAAAAATTCATAGAAATTCTTTTCAAATAAAAATCATAAATTTTAAACCTTATTTTTATTTCTTAAATAATCTTATCTAAAATACACCTTTTAAACAACACTATTGTCTGCGACGAACTATGAGACATAAATAATTCAGATATTTCCGTACCGTACAAATCTGCCAGCAACAAAATAATTTAAGCATACCACAACGGAAACGCGTGCCAGTTTGCGGAAATGCCAACCAATCGAAATGTTCATACGCATGAAAATGGACGACTGATTGCAAAAAAACACCTCTCAAAACTCATATGCGAGATGTTATGTAAGTTGGTATGGTACACGTGTATGTATACCTATACATATGTATTCAATTTCAGGTTAGGTAAAGTTGTTTTCACAAGAACAAGCAAATCCCGGAAATTAGAAATCTATTCGAAATCAAATGCGATTATAATGATGACCAGAACAACAGGTGGGAGTGTATAAGTACACTCGTACTCTGCGTGTACTGATATAACGGCATAAGAGGGATGAACGAAGTAAACATTTTTATTAGGAAACGTACATTCTACCTTAACAAATATATTTGATGAATTAATGAGATGTTTTTCAGTTGTCATTTATGAGGAATAAAATTTGAAAAGTTATTAAATTATTTTTCAGAATTATCATGTTATCCACTCAACGAAATAAACAGTATTTTCATATTCCAGTTGATATTTACTTTTAATATAAATTAATGTGGATCATAATATATGCATAGAACATCTTCAATTACTTCAAAATATCTTAAAGAAGGATTCTGCGAAAATTGATTTAACAAGTTTTAAATTAGTGTTGCCACCTACTAAATAAAACTTCAAATTTTACAAATACATAGTCTAAGGCGTTCAAGAATATATTCCTAAATATTTCCTTTTTTATATTTCAATAGATTATAACTTTAAAAATAACATACTTAGGTTTAAATCGATATCTTAAATCGTTTTTGAGTTAAGGCCTTCTAAGTGTAGCCGCTCAATCCAATCAGTTCGATCAGTTTTTCCGTAAGGGCATTTTTCTCGAATCAGAATTTTTCAAATTTGCTCGCGGTCCCATAACTATCAAGTTTTCTCAGCATATTCTCAAAATAATTTACTATGTAATGTCCTACCAGTTTTTTGATCTGATCAAAAATCGAATTTTGGGAAAATTTCAATTACTTTCTAAAGCGTTTTCGTCAATTTTTTATTCTTTTTTTATACCATAGGTCATTGTACGGACATGTATGATAAAGCCGGAATCACTACATCCTGGGAGATCACGTGTAATTGGAAAAGCTTTTAATTTTTTTCTTGAAAAATTTTACTGTGCAAACACTCTAGTAGGAGTACTAACAGACCACTGTCTAATAGGCAGACATGCAAGTAGACTTGGAAAGCCATGTAACGACCATTAAACATCTTATATGCGATTGCACGACTCTATATAGGAAACGAATCGCTGCTATCGGTCGAGGGTTTCCTGGCGAAGTCTCGGAGGTTATACGGATAAAACTTGTCTTACTTATGAAGTTCATCAGAAGTACGGGGTGGTTCAGAAAGAAGGCAATAGATTGAGAGGACTTTGGTCCCGGTGGTATCACAATGGGCCTCCTAAAGGCCTAGGTGTGTCGAAAGACAGCCACTCTACCTACCCACCTCTTTACCATAAATATATATGAATGTCACTCTAGAGTATGAAAAAAAGTAAATAAATAAGTATAACGAATCAAAAATTTTTTCTATGCGAAGTACAGCAAAAATTTTAATTTATGACTCAAAGTGGGATAGGCAAAAACTTATGCTTATACATATGTTATTCCGTACAATATAGCCTCCAATGGTTTCAAACCTCATATTATTCAAGTCTGCATCAAATAATAATTTTAGGTGGTCGCTAAGGACTTTATCAGCGAAAAGCGACTTTAATTTGCCATCATTGTGGCAGCTGGAATTCTTTATTTTTCTATTTGCATGTGTCTCTTCCGGTTAATACATATTAGCATATGTACATACACCCATTCTGGATGACACAACCTAAATACGCTACCCGACATTCATTGTGTGTTGCAAATGAGCGCAATCATCTGCCATTACCCAGTGATTTAAGGGAGCAAAAAATCGTAATTATGAAGAATAGCAAATTCTGCAGCAGAGAAATTATGGTCAGCTGACATGTGCCCACGCTACAAAATGCAGGTTTTCGGTGCGGTTGTGCTCACTGTTGTCTGTGGAGACTAGTAACCTTTATCCATTCATATTTCCTTGTATTTACACAATAGTCGACCACAATAAATGTTCACATGAACGCTTTTTAGTCGCCATAAATAACAGTCATCCGATGGAGGCCTTCGGTGGTCGCTACAGCATCAACGCCACATATTATGCACTCGTCTATGCTTTCACAACTCGTTGCGGTCCATTTTTCTTCGTTCGTTTTTTTTTATTTTTATTTCGTCTCGAATCCCTTCATTGCAGTTTAAATGTTGCAATATGCGCGAAAATGTATCCTGCGAGCACCCATGCTTTTACACACATAATTACTTTACTTTTTTATTTATACATACCCTGCAGAAAATCTTTGATGAAAGGACTTCCTCTCGCCAAAGTTATATAAAGATTATATTAAGTAACCTAAAATTTCTAACTAATGTATTGCTTATAGTTTTGGTTTCCTTCAGCGTTCTTACACCGCTACATAATCTCATTTTCTAATTTTAAAATGTGTTAAGAGTGGTGGCTACTAGATTTTTTTTGAAATCTCTTCTTCTTCTAAAATTAAATAGTTCAAATATTGCAGAATTTGTCCATCATAAGGAAAAGTTAGGGTTTAAATTTAAAAGCAAAATATTTCCTTTCAAGACCTTATCTTATAAATTTTTGTTTTCAATATCTTAATATATTATTTCTGAATTATTTCAGCATTTATAAAATGCTACAAAGTCCTATACTTTCCAACAGGCCAAGTATGGAAATGAAAGTTCAAATAAAAAGGGCAAAAACAAAAACAGGTAAGTCAAGTTTGCATAAATAATAAAAAATGTAAATATCCACAGAAAAGGAGAAAATAAACTACTCAAGAAAAATACCTGCCGTTACAACAAAAATTATAGCTGTCTACCATCAACCGCCTCATCATCTTTCAAAATGAAAGTACCCATGAGTTATTATATTCTTTAATCCTTTATGCTCTGTGTACCTTATTTTGTGCACACGAGTGAGCACGATCCTCTCCGGCAGGTTACCGTTTTGACTTTTGACAACGAAGAGAAATATATTTAAGCACTTAATATGCACCAGTTGCACACCAATAGACACACATGGATGCACCGTTCGGACAGATCGGCCATATGCAAATTCGTTCCCACAATAAATTCCGTTGCATGTACATGTGTGTGAAATGCGGTTGTTTGCTGCTATTTTCACGTTTTTAATAACCGTTTATCGCACAGTCACATTTTCAACCGTTTTCGAGGTTATGAAAATTTTGAAAGGGTTGTTCGGTTGATTGGCGGAAAATTGCTTCTACACGCTTCGATTGTGGTGTCAAATCGATTTAGATGAAGCAGTTTTTCAATTTCTGGGCTCAGATTTATATAGCGAGGCATAAAATTAAACGTAATAATAATTATTTTATACGAAAACTGAAAAGTACAATATATTACTCTTACAAGTATCATATGGACCTCTAAGCTATAAAATAGCCGAGAGTTTATTTATTTGATATCTTTACTATAATGGTATAGAGAACTCAACTAAATCTTTAGAAAGAAAGAATTTTTGAACTATTACTTAATGTATTATAAAATATGACCAAACTGGACTAAGTGGTCCTAGCTATTTTTAGTGAGAATATGTTTCTGGTTAAAAAATTGCAAGAATAACAAACGACGTGAAAAATTTAATAAAAGCGGTATATAAGGCTGAAATTAACCTAACTAGCTTTACCTAAAGTAATCTTATCTAACTGATCACATCCGCTTGAAGTACAGAAAGAACCCTTTATTTTTATACCCTGAACTGAGTATATTAAGTTTACCACGAAGTTTGTAACACCCAGAAGGAAACGTCGAACACCCCATAAAATATATGCATAAATTATCAGCATAATGAGCTGAGTTGAATTAGCCATGTCTGTTTGTCTGTCCGTTGTTGTATACATACAAACTAGTTTCTCAGTTTTTAAATTAACGATCTGAAATTTTGCACTAAGTAACTGCTTATTTGTCGGAACGATATCAGACCACTATAGTATATAGCTGCCATACAAACTGAGCGATCGCAATTAAGTGCTGGTATGGAAAACTCTTTCATGTGTCGAGGTATCTTGACGAAATTTGGCATGGAGTATTGTTTAAGGCAATCATGCAATCTCCGGCGATCAGATGACTATAGCATATAGCTGCCATATTAACTGATGTAATATCTTCACGAAATTTCCCATGAACTATTTTCTAAGGCAACAATGTCTTCTCCGCAGAAATTGTCCTGATCAGATCACTATATCATATAGCTGCCATACTAATGGAACGATCGGAATCAACTTCTTGTAAGGAGCCTTTGTACTTGTGAATGGTATTATAGCTTCGGTGCAACCGAAGTTAACGGTTTTTCATGTTTCGAGCCTATTTTAACTCAACACACATAACCACACTAAAATTTTTCAGAAATTATTGTGGTTAAGGTTCTGCAGACCTTTGAAAACTATATACTAGTACAATATTTATGAATATTCTCTCCATTGTCTTCTAAAAAAAACGTTTATTGCGTAACCCGATAACCGATATTAATTAGTTACTATGAGAAATATAGGAAATAGTTTACAACACTCAAATTATGCTTTTCAATTTTTTAAAATAATAATTTGTAATTACACGGATTAAGTCAAACATCCATAAACAATAAATCCGTGACATTCATTGAAACTGGTATATTTGTATGTACGAGTATTTGTTCGTGTCCAAATCAGTAGTATTCGTATTGTAGTTTCCAGCATAGCTCGCGACTCGTACTTACTCAATTAGCCAGCAAATATGTTTCTCCTTCTCGCATACCATTAACGACCCCCTTCAACAACAACAATAAGAGCAACAAGCAAGCAAACATTATGAATTTCGCACATCATTAGGCAAATGCAAAATGCAATACAAAGTCAATTTGATCCATTTGCCAGCAGTTAATATTGTAGGAGCTTCTAATGGACTGGCTACTGAAATTCAAAACTCGCTTAATCCGCGAAATATCAAATATTCAAATGCATTTCCACTACAAATAAATTATTCGTGCAGTATAATTAATGCATAACAAGTTCGATAAGAGATAAACAGTCATTTTATTTGGCATAATTTGCGCTTTTCGATTCAGAGCAGGTCAACTATTTTATATGATATCCGGATAGTCTGATAAATCAGTAAAACCTCTTATACAAGTAGTGAGAGAGATACTTATAAGAGGCATCATTAAAAGAACAAAGGCACACTACATATTCAGAATAATTTTATATATATATTAGAAATCATTTAAATGTTTAGCATGAAGTATCTTATTTTACTACGTCAAAGAGTTAATTTTTGATATTCTCAATGTGTCTATTTGCACAGAGAATCGTTTGTTACTGTTTCGTAATCGCAGACCA